GGTGCCCGGCACCTTCCGTTCCCAGCTTGCTGGAGGTGTCCCTGAGCGCGGAGCTGCGCACGCTGAACCTGCACTGCAACCGCATCGCCAGGATCGAAGGGCTCGGCCACCTCCGGAACCTGCAGCACCTAGATCTGTCATCAAACCAGATCCGCCGGATCGAGGGGCTGAGTTCCCTGGGCAACCTGCGCACCCTGAGTCTGTCCTGCAACCTGATAACAAAAGTGGAGGGTCCGCCAGTATTTATTTCTGTCCATTTAGCAACTCGTGAAGCTTTTCAAAGAGCTGTATTAATGCTTGCTTCGGGAAAGTGTGCATGTAATTAAGGTTATACACATTCAGTGTGAGCTACTAACCATACTACTTGTAAATTTTAAAAAGAGTACATAGTCTCTGTAAACTTCATTATATCAAACTGCCTTCATTTAGAAGGGAAAACTGATTTCTTATATCGCAGTTATGCTTTGTTTTCATAATTTCTACTTAGGAGTTTTAAAGGGTTACTTTGCAATTTTTGATTTGATGAACGCAGAGCATTCTTCTGAAAACTTTACTGTTTCTTTTTTTCCTCATTTTGTTTAGGACTGGAAAAACTCTTTAATTTAACCATACTGAATTTGTCATATAATCGCATACATGATCTCTCTGGTAAGTGGCTTTGGCATATGCAATGCAATAAACAGCATTTGCCTCACTTTAATTTTGAAAATCTTGACCAAGTATATTTTTGGAGGTTTCTAGTAGTTCAACCAATTGACTGAGTAACACTTCTAAAGGTGGAAATTGCTACTACTCTTAGCTTTCAGTTTTCTAGCATCAAGGGTTGTTCAGAACCGTTTCTTCTGTATTTGGTGAGGCCTGGCTTGTTCACAGAGTGGCACAGTAAACACTTAAAACTTATTTCCCAAATGAAAAATGCAATAATCTCAGAAGATATTTCCAAAAGATTAATATCTCCCCTTTCTGTAGCCCACAAATGCAACTTTGGATATGGTATGGAAGTTTCCTTCTCAGTCTATTTGTTGAAATGGTCAATTGTTGATTCTGAGATGTTAAGCTACAGAATCAAGGGCATTTGTAATAGAAAATTAAGAACAACGGTAACAGTTTTGTTAATTAACTGAGTTAATTAAAGGAACTTCAAGCAAAAAATTAATTTCATTTTATGTGCTTCTTGACAGTTGGAACCTAATGTTCTTCTTTAACGTTGGCTCTTGTAGCGAGCCGCAGTGTTGCAGCATGTGGTGGTGTACCAGAGCTGCTTCACACACGTAGACAAGGATATGGAGCAGAAGTTATGACATCATTTCCAGCTCTGATGTGCTGTTTACTGAATATGTTTCAACAAGACACCATTTGTCCTAAGCTCTATAGTCTAGGACCATAGGAGAAATTATTTTGTGTTTTTTTCTCGAATTTTCAGGCTTTCAGTGCCTGCACGGGCCCGATCACAAGATCAGCCATGTCGACCTTCATGGCAACTGTGTGAACAGCATTGACCACTTGCTTCAGTGCACGAAGGGGCTGCGCTGCCTGAGGAGTCTGACCCTGGAAAAGCATGGAAAAGCCAATCCAGTGTGTCACACGGCAGGTATGGCCCTCGGGCTGGGGGGTGCTTTGTGCTCCACAGGTCAGTGATTTCCCCTCAGCTGCGAGCCAGGTTCTGAAGCTTGCAAATTCATCCATAAACTGGCCAGCCGGCAGAAATCTGAATTCTGTCTAAATTTATTTGGTTTCCGTTATTTTTTTCTCCCAGGTTTATTGTCAGAATTGTAATTTGTGATATGCTTTGATAAGGCCCAACTTTTCACATACTGTGGTAGGTTAAGGCAAGAGACAGACAAAGAGTGATGGGGAGAGAAAGCATTGCAGAAGTGGGGGAAAGGAGTGCTAATATTATAAGGTGGGTGCCTGAAGAATTTGAAGAATGTTCATAGAGATGTTGAACTATATAGAAAGAGGGCAGGCATGGGAAGTAGATGGTCTTCTGGAGATGAAGGGAAGATCAGTTATAAGCGCTGTGAACCTTTTCTCCTTTTCCCACAGCTTCAGTGAGCAGTGATAGGCTCTTAAGATGCTCAGCAGTAATTGGCAGTTTCATCAAAACAGTTTCAATAGGCAGTGTGGAGACAAGTTGGAGGAATGCCTGTGGGTACCTCACTGTCATCTGCGTCGCTTAGAGCTTCTGGTTTGGGAGCAGGTTTTTCCTGCCCTTTAAATGTTATGCTCTGTATTCAAGCAAGTTAAATCGTAACATCATTTTTTGGTGCAGCTTTTGGTTGTGTCTAAGAGAGTAGAATCTCCTACAGAGAGGTACAAGTGGAGGATTGATAATTTTAGGGCAGCCTAAAGATAATTCCTTACAAAGAGTACAACAGTAGGAATTACAGTAATGCCAAATGCCAACCATATCATGGGCATGTAACTGATACAGGTGTAATAAGTCTCCAGTTCGTGGAAGGAAACCTCGGAGATAGCTGAGGGAAGCCACATAAAATCTTAGGTAATGTTTTCAAAAGCTTCTATGAAAAAGTTTTACAAATGCATTCAGACACCATGGAGGCAGTAACAGGACTAAGTTACCTGGATAACATAGAATAATTCCATTAGTTTTCTTCTGTATATGCCTTCGTATCCTCTTGGTGTCACTTACTCTTGAAACTGCAATGTTGAGAAGCCTAAATTCTGTGAGTTTACAGAGATTAAACTTCAGTGCTCTACAGTTTCATAATGCCTTACTTCATTCACTGAAAAAGGATGAAGTTACCTAAGCCCTTTCAGAACTTACCTTTGCCTTACCTCTGTCTGTCCTTGCACTTGTTGTGACCATTTTGGTGCAGTAGGTTGGTATGAAAAGGTTGTCTATGCAACTGCAGGGTGCTGATAGTGTTGAGGAAGTCCCTGTGCAGATTACTAGACAGGCAGCTTCCTAGTTAATTTGTTTTGCAGTGTTGTCTGTTGAAAGCCTTATGGGTGGGGAAAGGTGAGAGAGACCCTTATAGATAACCCACTACTTTTCCTTCTATTGAAAATACAATGACTGTCTTGAGATGACGTGGTACCTAAAATACATCTCAGTCAGAGATTAATTTCAATTTGAATGTTGTCTTTTCCTCAAGGTTATAGAGAAACTGTTCTTCAGGCATTGCCCCAGCTAACAGCTCTAGATGGAAGAAGTACTTCTGGTGAACCACTGGACCCAGTAGAAGAAAACCTTCCAGATTTGTATTGTCTAGAAGATATGTTGGGCTCTTTGCCTTCATCTGGGTGCCCCTCATCCAGAGATCAGGTGCCGTAGTTTGCGTGTACTGATTTTAAAATGGCTATATTTTGTTTCTATGTTGCATGCAACCCAGCTGATGTCAGGAGGGTTGTCTTCCTCTGCCAGGATGGTGTCCCCGTGCCGGTGGTGACCCCGCGCATCGACCAGGCGCTGGCTCGCTTCCGCCAGCGGGCGGGCACCACAGCACAGAGCTCCTCTGCAGAGCTGGCCTCCTCCTCAGAACCAGAGAAGGCAGAACTTGATAAAATACACAGCCAGATGAGGATCAAAAGAATTGAAGATCAGGTTTCACAGATACTGCAAAAGGTGATGTATTTTTTCCTGGGATTGAACAGGAAGCTGTGTTTGTAGAAAGAGGTGTACCTTTTGACAATGCACAAGTTTCCTGGGACAGGCTGGAGCGTTTCTACTCGTACACATGTGCTGACTTCGTGCTCATATGTTCTTAATAATTTTGAGAAACTAGGAAAAAATAAAAACAAGTCTTCAAAACTGAAGATTGCACTTTGAATCACAAAAAAACTTCATACTGAATAAATCCATAGTGTATGGGGCTAGAACTATCAGGTCATTTTATATTAGAAATCTTTTTTTTTTTTTTTGCCCTGAAGTCATCATCAAATGAACCAGAGTAAAATATAAAATACAAAATGCAGCAAAATTATCTGGATTATAGAGTTGGTTAAAATTTATTTTGCTAATAGGTCAAGTTGGTCTGCTAAGTTTGTCATGTGTAGTCTTGTAAGTTTGTGGAGTACCTTGCATGTTTGCAAAGCTTTTTTGGTTTTAAGTGTTGTTATTTGTTTTACATTCTGCACCAAGCTTCTGTGCCTAAGGATTTTACCAAACTTCAGATACTTCAGAAAGATACAGCTATATGTTCTCAAGCATCCTGTTCTGTTTGGTTTATTTTATGTTTAAAACAAACAAAAAAAATTATCAAGGGAGAAGTGGTGGTTTGGAAGTAATTACTTTTCTATCAAAATTATTTTCTGTGAACTTTTTTAAAATAGCACCTGACTAAGTGTTAGAAATTAGCCAATCATACATTGTAAAATGTGTAGATGAAACTTCAATCTGTTCATAGGTATCTGATGCCTCAAGAAGGGAAGCTCCTCCAAATGTTCTCAAAGCTAAAAGAGACATAGACCCAACTTCTGAGAGTGAAAATGAGAGTGGAAAAGAGAACAACAGAAAGGTTCTGAAAAGAAGCAAGATCCCTACTTACCGTAGAACTACCTTGTGTAACAGATGCCACATGAATCATCTTAATAACAAAATAACTGACAGGTATCCCAATGTTTGCCCTATAAAACCAAAATGAATTAAGCTGAATTTTGTAGTAAATGTAGTTTGACTTGAAACATTTTGCTGAAAAGTAGTAGGTTGGGTAAATTAGCTCTGTTAATAATGGTCTAAAAATTATTAGCTACTGAGGCTTCGCTCAGTCATTTCCAAAACAGACACTTTCAGTATTTAACAGATCATATTTTCGTCTTTGTTTTCAATTGTGATGACAAATGAAATCTCAACAGACAGAAGAATTGATTCATTAAAAATAGAGATATTCATGGTGTCAGAATGATGGTCAAGAATGTTGTGTCTATATTTTGTGATGAAGCTGAGGATACCATACCAATTTGTTTGACTTGCATAGTCAATACCAGGAGTTATGACTAGCAGATGATATAAATTGGAATATGTTAATGTAGTCAGCCACTGCAGCTCCACAGCTACCCTCTCTAAATTGTTTCGTATTTATGTGATCATGTTTTTCAGATAACACCTAGCAGTACAACTCTTTTTTTACAGCTGAAGAGTTTGATTCAGCTGGTTTTCTTATGATGTGCTTGCAGATTATTTTCTACATCATTTTGAAGTCTGTACAATTCAGCTTCTACACAGAACTGTAAAATTTTTCACCTGTAAAAGTATCTCAATCCCTTGTTAGCCATTTAAACTGCATATTCTTAAGTACACCTGTCCTGCTGTTACAGGGAAGAGAAGAAGAGTTGCTCAAAGTATCCACTGTCCAGTCAGAGAGACTGGCATATCAGTTCATTGCCAGATACACGAGTCTTGGAAGTAGTGGGAAGAAAAGCTGAAATATTAACTGTAAGACAGAGCAATACAGACAAAGTAGAAGAAATTAATTCAAATGCCACAGAGGAATCGACATACCGAGTATGTTTTGCATCATTTCAAGTGAAATATGACTATGTTTTTACTTGAATCCAAGCACGTCTCCTGGTTAAACGTTAAAATTGGAGGTGACAGAAATAATTGCGTGTTGGTAGTATCCAAAAAAGTGGAGTTCTTACAGTGTAAGCTGGAAGGGAATTTGTTTCATTTCTCTTTTATGGGGGTTTTTGGTCTGGTCACTTGCACTTTCCTCTATCATCTAGAAAAGAAAAAAAATCTTGTTCTACAGGTAGGGATATTCTTTGACATTTTTGGCTACACTTGAATGCTTCCCATTAAGTTGATGCTCACCATATTCTTACTAAGGTGCTGATTCAAGAACTGGATCAGGAGAGAGAAAGGAGGTGGAAAGCAGAGCAAGCAGAGAAGAAATTACTAGAGCATGTTAGAGAGCTACAGCAACATGCAAAAGAAGAAAGGAATATTCAGAGTATGAGTGTGTACACTACAGACAGGTAGGGAAGCAGTGCTGTACTATAAGACTTTGGGCTTTTAATTCAAAATGATTCAATTTATAGGCTTAAGAAATGAGAACAGCTTTAAACAATATACTTGGAAAATAATGTATCATGAAGTAGTTACAGATTTTCTCTTGGTATTACCCAATGAAATTCCTTTCTGCAGCTCTGCAACTTTCTTTCTGTTTTTGTCTCAGAACGGTGTCAGTGTGTAACTTGCCCCATTTCTAGCCACTGCTTTCCAAGCAACCTGTATCATAATCGTGCTTACTCTTTCAGCTCAAGGTCTGGCAGTTGTCTCGTATCATACTTTGAGCTTCCAATTCTCAGTCCCCTTTTCCACCTCAACATACAGCATTCATTCCCACGCAGGGCACTTGAAACAAGATGTTTCTGTCAGGCCAGAGTTGCCCAGCAGGCAGTTTGTTGTGCAGGTCAAGCCTGGAATATCTCCTATAGAATGCTGTCCACCTCCTTGTGAGGTCTGAGCTGCATCATTGTTTTCAAAAGCTCCCCCTTCTAACAAAGAGTTGTTTGGTCTCAGCTGTGATTGGAGATGTCTGTTCTATTTGTCTTTTTCTTAACTGCACCGTATTTATCTTTCTTGTAAGAATTTTTTTTTAACACAGTTTCTGTCTTGTCAGGAAGAAACAAGCCAAATGCTTCCTCAGTTACCATCCATGACTGACTGTGATTATTTCCCCTTTTTTTCTATTTATTTTAGGTTCATTTCCTACCTTTATTTGTTACTACCTTCAATAAGAGGCTTATTATGTACCTTTTCATTTGAGATAGATCTTATATCTAAAATTATTAGAATATTTAAGGATATTTTTACATTTTCTGAAGAAAATAATCAAATTGCAGATTAATACTATATGTTTGACTTCTATATAAAGCAAAATGATACTGGGATGTCATTTCCTTAAAGACTTATCTATGAGACTGTGGTTCAGCTTAGTTTCTTTTTAAAATAAGCTACATGTAGTAATGACACTACTTCAGTAACATTTTAATCTTTTTAAACAGTTTTACATGACAATGACAGTGCTGTAAATAATAAAACTTGGTAACAAATAAGACATAGTTGCTACAAGATTTACTAATGGCTTTTCTCAATCTATTTGGCATCAAACTAAATACTAAAATGTTTGTAATACTTCATTGCATTTGTTCTCAGGTTAAAGGAATTGATGTTGAAGGAGAGCAATGTTAAAGCAAGACTGCAAGCAGATGTCCAACAGTTGAAAAGTGAAACTGAAAGACTTACTAATGAGTTAAATCAGGCAAGAAATAAAGCAGCAGCACATCAGGAAGCCATGCAAGCCTTAGAAGAAACTCTATCCAAGATGGAGACGCAGAGGCTGCAGCAACGGACAATAGAGGTAAATATTTCACATGAGTAGATAATGCAGTGGCAACAGGATGGCCTCCATAGTCCTAGGTATTATGAAACACTAGATTTTACAAGCCTTAAGTCTGAGCTCTCAACAATAAAAGCTGGGCCTTTTTTTCTACATGGTAGTAGTTAATAACAAGTAGCCATTTTAATTGTGAATTTTTTTATAAATAGAAGGATGTGATGTGATGTGATGTGATGTGATGATAAGGTAAAGCAGAACAAGTCCTATGTACTTAACATTGTGAGTTGGTATTTTCTGGAAATACACAGTTACAATGACAAGTTTTTTAAAACATTGCTGAAATGAATAAGGATCTTACTGGTGGTTCTATTTGTTTTGCAGATCTAAAGAATTAGATGCTTTTAATTGCAACCAAAGTAATTGAATCTAGCTAGGGAGGTCAAA